CGTCCGTCTGCGTCTGTCTGCGACCACAGACTTCCCGGCCCTCAGCTCTGACTGACAGCCCCTATGGTGGTTGTGGTCACTCCCCGTGAGTGACATGAGGGGCAGCAGGGCTACTTTATTACCTTCTCCCCCTCCCTCAGAGCTCGTCCGGATCCTGACCACTGATCACCACCTCTGCTCTAATATCCAGAAGAAATGCCTCCAGGACTGAAAATAGAACTCATTAACACGTTTAGTAAGTACAAATGAGATGAGTGTCTCCTGATGGACCGTCTATCTTTTGGATCAGCTTTCAAGGAGAGTGTCTGCTAATGACAAGAGAGAGGGAAACCAATATTATAATGTGGTGCCCATCTCTTCTGAAAAGGTGCTTGATGACAGGGAGAGACTCACAGACCAGGTCTGATTCCCTGTGTGGATACTGTGTGTGCAATAAAACGTGTGTGTGTTCAAACACACACACGTGTTTGAACTCAAATCCATTGCTTATTCACACTGCATAAAGCAGTGTGTTAGTGAAATCACACACAGAGGGCAAAAGCAAACAGTACACACACAGGGATTGTTGGTGCTTTTACTTTTCCGATCATCTCTTCCCGTCTAACACCTCAAAAAACAACAACCAACCCTCCGCTGCTCCTGTTTTTCCTCTAATGCTGGCACACCAACATCCAGACTTAACACTTCTCCCTGCCAGGGAACAATGCAACCAGTATTTACAGGACGGGAGTTCAGTCAGTTGGATACCAGACATTTGTATTAGCAGTTTTCCTGGTACAGCCTGGCTGCTCTCTGGTTCAATTGATGTCATGTGATGAGTCAGCAAAGAAATACCAAACAGGTCTCATCTGACAAAACAAACTTTCCTGCGTTATTTAGACCAGAAAGGTCGCAGGAATGTTGATTCACAAGTGGAAAATCTTTGAAGCCGTCATTGGCTTTTTTATTATTTGTCTAGTCTTTTGTAATATTTTCAAAATGAAAAGTTATGTATTTATGAATTTCCTGGCACGTCATGTGGACAGCAAACAATTTCCGATGCTGCACAGATGCCCCTCGGACAAGGATTAGAAAGCAGGCGACTTACAGAAGCCTGACTGATCTGCGGGCCCTCTGGGGCCCTGCTCATCCAGGCCTGCAGTCCTCATCCTCATATCCACTGTGCACAGCAGGGCAATAACAGCCTTTATTAAAAGCGCTTTGCTGCAGTGCCTGTCTACACAACTTACTTTCAGATTGCCCATAATGTGGCATGTAGAATGGGTCTAGTGGTTAGGGGCAACAATATCCTGTTTCGGGAAAGGTTTACTTTGCATTTTAACAAGCATGAATAAAAGAGGACATTCCAGAAATGGCGACCGTCTGTTTGGCTCTTGCCTGGCTCTTGTCTGTGTGTGTGTGAGAGAGTGTGTGTGTGACGGGGGTGCAGAAGTGAGAGCTTTAGACTTTGCATGCCATGAAGGCGTGACCTGGCTTTACCTGCTCAACTTTAGCCACTGGACATGAAGGTAACTTAACTTAACTTAAAGCCACATCTCTGTGAGCACATCTTATCTGACATCATTCAATCTTAATGTGAGCTGCAGGCTTTTAATGGAAACAATTATGAGTGGGTTTTTCACTATTTGTTTTGTCGATGTATTTTCCACGCAAGTCCTTTTTTCAACCCTTTTTTTCAGCTTTTTTCACATTGTCTCAAGAATTATGCATGAGGCAGCAAAAAGGGAGGTGGGAGGAGGGGGTGGGAGAAAACGCCGCTGTTGTCAGGACAGGCCTTGCTATTAGGTGTATAACCCTGAAAATGCACCCCTTTTAACGAAATAAGCCATGGATCCCATATTGGATACCACTATTATGTAGTCATTTGTATGCATTCATTTGTCTCATTTCCATTTAATAATGCACACAGCTCCCCTGCCCAGTTTCTGAAACTGGTCATTAAAAGTAATGCTGATCTAGAGGTGCTGTGCATAAAACAACTACAAAGTCAAAGTGACACGACCTTTCCACGCACCAGTCTTTTGTCCTTGAATACTTGGACCTCATTGTAATAAAAAAAAAAACAAAAAACAAAAGACAGCTGAGACTGACGCTGACTCTGTCTGCCTTGACAGCCCCAGCCCCGGCTCCTGGACTCACCGACAGGATTTCCTCCTGCATTGAGAGCCAAGCGGTCACAGGCCAGCAATCAAGGGTCTGCCATCTGTGACCGAGACAGATTTACAGCTGACGCTAATCCACAGCATCAGCCACATTTATTCTCAATCACTGCCATATACTGCCACATACTGCCATATAATGCCATATAATGCCATATACTGCTATATACTCGTACACAAACCATTCAATAGACTTGGTGAAACCATCTCTTCCCCACTTCTTCTCCCTTAGTTTTAGCTTTACCTCATGATGAGAGAATATAAATCAATTCAATGCTCAAAATACACATGCAATTAGTTAAATGTTAAAAGATTAGAAATCTTGATGCGTCATTCAGTTCTATGCCGTGATGAACATCAGTCATCGACTCCTCGAAGTCACTTCCTCTACAAATATCCTCTTGACTTGCACCAACAGTGTTGCGCTCCTGCACTCTTTAACCCCAGTGCTCTAAGCAGCAGATGTCATTAACCCATTACACGACACGAACAATAGAAGTTGCTGTTTTCTTAGTCACGGGCACACCTTAAAATATTTTAGGTGATCACACGCTCAGATCAACCATGCTCAACCTTTCAGACTTCTCTCTCGTCTGGTGTTTCACAGGGGCTTAGTGTCAATGTTGTTGTTTTTGTTTTTTTTATTTTCTCTCTGATGTCACACACACACACACAGTGCAGCTGTGTTAGCACCACAGAGGCCATTCTCTTCCCCCACACAAGGGTTAAAGAAGACGAATGGAGGCGGGGCAACAGAGCAACATGCCTAAGCAGCACATTTTCCCTATGAGCGAGAATTAAAAACAATGCCGGCCTGTTATCCCCGTGTTAGTCTAATTGGAAGGAACCCTCTTTTCTGCTGTCCTTGCTCTTCTTGGACATCCAGCCTGGAGGAGATGTGCTGCACCAAATCCCCCCTAGTCCATGTCTGCTGCATCATCATAAAGACTATTAATAGTATTATTAATGTTAATACAGGGAGTAGAAAATACCCTTAAATCTGAAGGGTGTCAATTCAACTGTGAATTGTTCTGTTGTTTTAGAAATGTGACACCATATTAGTGTCTGAAAGAACCACTGAGCTGCAACAGACATTTAGATACGCCGAATTTCAAGGGACTGAACTCTGTATTAACCTGTCCATGAATGTCCCCACAGTTTAGTGACTCTCTCTTAACTACAAAAACAAAGAAGTAGCAGAGAGGAAATATAAAATTACAGAGAGAGAGAGAGAGAGAGAGAACAGGTTTGTCCTACTTTTGGGGAGGAAGGCAGATGTTAAGCTGCTGCTACTGACAAAATGTGGGTTTTTTTCAGTCTCAGTTTTGTTTGATTAAATCTATAAGTGACATTTAATGATGTTTTGATGAAGTACTAACTAAAGTATGTTATTTATCCTTTAAATATATATTTGACCGCACCTGTTTGTGAGCTGTAGCAGGACAAAATTAAACACATCATATGCCACCAAATGCTCAATAAAGGGAAAACCAAGATCCACTACTATAAACATCACCACCACCACCATCGTCATCATCATCATAATCATCACCATCGCCATCATTAAAAGCTGACTGGGCTGAGGGACTGATGCCACCCACACACACTGATTGTATTTTATCTAACCATTGCTAAGATTCCTAACTAGGGCACAAACATAGACGTGCAACATAAAAAGCAGACAAACCCATTTATTTGCAAACAGCACAACAACAACTCCTCCCCCCTGCTTAGGGAAGAGTAAATTCTTGCCCCCCAATCCTCCAGCCCTTTTAACCTAAACGGTTCTTCCCCTCTTGCCTTCGCATGTTCGTTTGTCCACTGTACAGTAGTCATTAACATATTTGGAGTGCAGCGAGCAGAAAGCTTAATTGTTCCTAATTGCTCAGCTAAATATGTTCTCTAATGATTTGCTTCAGATCTGTGACTGCCTTCTGCACAATTTCCCGGCCACTGGGTTCATTATCCCTGCCTCCTTGGAACAAAGCATCTTCACAGGCTGGCCTTTTTCCCCCTACACAACAGAGACAGTGAGTGTGTGTGTGTGTGTGTGTGTGTGTGTGTGTGAGGGAAGTAATGGCTCCCTCTTGGAAAGGGACACAATAGAGCCCTTTTGTCAGAGCACAGGAGTTAA